GCAAACGATTGGTATGCCGAGCCTCATCATCTGCACAGCACACATACACCACGTCAGCCTGGGGCTGACGGCTACCTCTGATCTGCCACGACGACCTCGTGATACCACCACCGAGGTCGGTCTCGCCAACTTCGCCTGGGCGACCGTCGCACTCCTCCGCAGCACTTCGTCACCCAAGTAACCTGGTCGTTCGGGCAACCACATCGACCAGCAACTCCCGTACGTGTCCGACGACCTCCCAAGTCGACGACCACCTCATTGTCGACCTCACCGGGTCGACCATGCCCCTCGGTCGACGACCATGTTACTCGACGCCCGGCTGCTCGACGCCCGACTGCTCGACGTCGGCCCCTCCTTCGTCGACCACCAGGTTCAGTCGACCACCCGTAGGTCGACCAGCACTTCAGCCGACCACCGAAGTCGGCTTCCCAAGTTGACGTCAACAAGTTAACGTCCTCCGCAGGTCGACGCCTAAGTCGGCCTCCCCGAAGTTGGCGCCACCCTGAAGTCGGCGCCCGTGCAGTGGTCCACGTGTAGGTCGACCTCCTTGTCGACCAGCTCGCCCACTGCTGCAGGTCGGCTGCTCCCCTAACACCCGACCACGATGTCGGCTCCGCCCAAGCGTGGACGGGGCCAACATACAACTCCCGCTGACACTCCCCTGCCGCGTTCACGCTTGGTCCCCCTCAAGTCCACTCGGCAGTACTCCTCGGAGAAAAGCTCGTCGACGTGCACCCAACACACCGCACGTCGTTCACCGCACCAGCCATGCAAGAGGGCATGGCACCTACTGCTGCACGTCGTTGTCGCCGTCGCCCACGTCGACCAAGCGCACCTGGCCGATTGCAACGGAGCACCGGTTGAAGGCCGGATAGTGCAGCGCCTTCGTCAGGAAGTCGGCCGGCTGCTCAGTGGTCGGGATGTACCTCAGCGAGAACTTCCCGCGCTTCACCATGTGCTGCAGCCAGGCCTGTCGCCGCTCCATGTGCTTGAGGTTGCCCGTCAACCCCATGCCCTCGGCGACTGTGATAGCCGACTTTTTGTCCACCCGAAGGACGGTCGGCTTCCCGGCATCCAGCTGCCGGAACTCTGCAAGGAGGAAGCGAAGTCGGCGTCCTTCCTTGCCGGCTTCGGTGGCTGCCACGTACTCCGACTCAGTCGACGACAACGTCGCACACTTGATGCGCTGGCTCGACCAGGAGACTGCAGCCCCTCCATAGACGAACACGTAGCCACTCGTGCTCGTCCTGTTCTGCTTGTCACCGGCGTCGTCGGCGTCCACGTAGCCGACCAGGTCCAGCGACTCAGGTTCTTCGCCGAACTCCACGGTGGTGTCGCGCGTATTGGCGAGGTAGGCGAGGCAGCGGTCGACCTCGCGCCAGTGCTGGTCGCTCCTCACCGTGAGGCCGCTCCCCAGCTTGCTGCAGGCGAAGGCGATGTCCGGCCTCGTCGTCGTCGCCGCGAACTGCAGCGAGCCGACCTTCTGCCGGTACTCCTCCTCCTCCCGCTCCTGTGCCTCCTCGTCATCGAACGTGAGCTCGGCGTAGGCATCGACCGAGACCGGCATCTTCGGGGTGCGCCCGGTCTGCTCCTCATCGATGAAGCGCCGACACAGTTTGTCGGCGTAGCCCTGCTGGTGCAGCCACAGCTTCCCCGCCGACCTGTCGCGGACGATCTCCAGCCCAAGGTACTTCTGCACCGGCGAGATCTCACGCAGTTCGAAGGCGGCTTCCAGCAGCTCCTTCAACTCCTTCAACATCGCGGCGCTACTGCTGGCGGCGAGTAGGTCGTCGACGTAGACCAGCACCCAGCAGGCCACTCCGTCCTCTTGGACCTTGCAGTAGAGAGCCTCGTCGACCTGGCTCTTCTTCCACCCGGCGTCGACCAGCACGTCGTTGAGCGCCAAGTACCACAGCAGCGGCGACTGCTTTAGCCCGTACAAGCTCTTCAGCAGCTTGCACACCCGGCCAGTCCCGTCGTTGAAGTAGTCCGGCTGGGACATGTAGAGCACCCTGTCGAGCTTGCTCTGCAAGAAGGCGTTCTTCATGTCGAGCTGCATCAGGTTGAGGTTGCGGACGGCGACGATGCTGAGGAAGATCCTCAGCGTGACGTAGCTGCCCACCGGCTCGAACGTCTCGTCGTAGTCGGCGCCGTACACCTGCGTGAAGCCCTTCACAACCAGCCTCGCCTTCTCGCGCTCGACGGTGTCGTCGACGTGGTACTTCGTCGTCAACACCCACCGGTTCTTCATGACGTTCACTCCCGGTGGACGTTCGACCAACTCCCACGTTCCCATGTTGAGGAGGCTGCGAATCTCCTCCTCCATGGCGGCCTTCACCGCCGGGCCCTTCCAGCTCGCCAACGCCTCCTTCACCGTCATCGTCGAGATGTCCCAACGGTGTTCGGGGTCGGCTAACATGTCGGGGTCGAGCTCTGGAAACTCCGCATCCTCCTCGGCATCGTCGTACAGCAGGTCGTCGGCCTCATCGTCCACGTCGTACACCGTGGTGAAGGCAGCGGGGACGAAGAAGTCATGCGGCCTCCGAAGTCGGCCTGAACGTCGTGGTCCTGGCTGGACCTCCTCGGCGTCCCCTCCATCGTTGCCGCTGCCCTCGACGTCCTGCTGCTCCTCAGCCGGCGTCCCAGCCGACTTCTCCCCTATGGTCGGCTCCCCTGCCGACTGCCTGGTCGCCGACTGCTCCTTGGTCGGCGTCACTGCTGCCTGCCCCTTTGTCGGCAGCTGGTCTTCGACCTGCTTCTCGACCTGCTCCTCCCCTGTCGACGTCGGCTGCAAGCCCACGTCGCCCTGCCGCTCGTCGCGTCGGCCACCGGCGATGCATTTTGCCGAAGGCGGCGTCGCACTACTCCCCTCATCGCCGGAGGCCGACACCGAGGTCAGCCGACGCAGATCGACCACGAGGGGAGGGGCGGGGGTCGCAGGAGGAGGAGCAGGGGGGCGGACGTCCTCGACGTACTGAACAGGAAGCTCACCGATCTCGGTAAGCAGTGGCAGCGTCGCCGACGAGGTATCAGATGGCGGAGTGAGCGACGAGCAGCCGGACACCGACCCGTACGCCGTTTTCCACTCGGCCAGCGACATCTCCTCGTAGAACACCACGTCCGACGTGGTGACCACCCGGTCGGTGTCGACGTCGAGGAGCTCCCAGCCCTTGCTCGCCGTCGACACGCCAAGGTGCAGACCCCACTTTGCCTTCGGCTGCAGCTTCCCACCACGCTGCTGCTCGGGGACCAAGAACTGCGCCATGCAGCCCCACACCCGCGCCAGCGACAAGTCGGGATTCTTCCCGGTCAGCAGTTGGTACGGCGTCGTCCCCGGCGGCAGCGTCGACCTCTGAAGGCAGTTGCGAACCCAGACGGCCTGCCGAAGAGCGAGGTGCCACCAGTGGTGCTGCACGCCCATGTGCAGCAGCATTGTCCGCACCGACTCCACCACCGTCCTCATCTCCCGCTCCGCCATGCCGTTCTGCTGCGGGGTGTATGGGCAGGTCAGGTCGTGGACGATCCCGTTGCCGTTCACGAAGTCGGTGAACTCCTTCCTGAGGAACTCTCCTCCCCGGTCAGAGCGCAGCATCAACACCGACTTCTTCGTCTGCCGCTCAGCCTCCGCCAGCCACTGCACGAACACCGGCAACGCGTTTGACTTCTTGGTGATCGGCTTCACCCACACGTAGCGGGTCTTGCGGTCCTTCAGCAGCAAGAAGTACAGGCTGCCATCCTTGGCAGCCACGCGGAATGGCCCGCACAGGTCAATGTGCACGACGGCCAGCACATTGTCGGCGTCGGAGCCTTGGTCGGGGAAGGTGTGCCGCGCCAGCTTCCCGCCGACGCACGAGACACACGGGGAGTCGGCGCCCGTCGCCGACTTGGGGTCCAGCCCAATGGCGACCTCGTTCTTCGCCGAGCTCCGTATAGTGTCCATGCCGACATGTGCAAGCCGGGCATGCATACGGTCCGGCGTCGACTTCGTCCTCGAGACGATCGCCCGCAGAGCCACGACCTCCGTCGTGGGCGACGTCGACCTCGTTGGGCAGGGACGCAGGTCGGTGCAGAGGACACGCCCGGAGTACGTCGCCCGTCCGAGAACCTCTCCCGTTGCCGAGACGAGCAGCATCCCGTCGCCGTCCTCTTGCAGCTTCACCCCGTGCTCCTTCAGCTGGCCGGACAACAGCAAGTTCGCCCGCACACCCGGGACGTACAGCACGTCGGGGATGAGCACCTGCTTCCCGGCCTCCCCTTGCAGAGCGACGGTGCCGCGGCCCTGGACATCCTGCAGCGCCCCATTGAAGCCGCGCACGTGCTTGATAAAGCCGCTCGGCTGCAGGTCGACGAAGGCTTCCTTCGTCCCCATCAGGTGGTGGGAGCAACCGCTGTCGAGCAGGACCACCGCCGGGTTTGCCTGCACAGCTGCCGCCACCGCCTAGAAGTCCTCTCCAGCCTCTGGCGCGAGCGAGACGGTCGGCTCCACAACGCCGACCAACGAGCACGACGCCGTCTTTCGTCCCGCGCCTTGCCGCCAGCAGGGGAATCGGCGTCCTTCGCCGAAGTCGACGTCTTGGTCGACTGCTTCTCCTTGCGCGGTCGGTTTCCACCTCGACGAGGACGACGACTGTCAGACCTCCCACGGCCGCCCTTGTTGTCGTCGTCGGAGTCACTGCGGTCGGGGCGCTCGAAGAAGAGGTGGTCGGGGTCGCCGTACAGCCAGCACTCCCGTCGTCGACCTCCTCCTCCTCGAGCGCTGTTCTTGGTCGACTTCTTTTTGTCGACCTCCTTGGCCGACTTCCAGCCACCGCTCCCGCCGCCACCAGACTGTCCGCGCTCTCCTGGTCGGCCTTCTTGCTTCGCCAGGGCGACGAAGTTGGCCTGCGCCAAGAGTTCCTGCGACCGCTCAGCCTCCTGCATCGCCTCGTCCTGCAGGATGTACGAGGTCAAGTTGTCCTCGTTGAGCGTCGCCCTCGTGCTCGGCGCCATGGACAGCCGCTTCAGGAGGTTGTAGCTGCTCGAGAGTCCCTGCATGACATGGGTGATGTACGACGCCGTGGAGTACTGCGCGCCGGCCATCCTGATGGTGGCGAGAATTCGCCGTCCACGTCCATGTCCACGTCCAAGTCCGCCACGTCCACGTCCACGTCCACGTCTACATCCACGTCCATGTCCACGTCCACGTCCACGTCCACGTCCACGTCCATGTCCACGTCCAAACCCACGTCCACGTCCACGTCCACCTCCACGTCCACGTCCACGTCCATGTCCACGTCCAAGTCCTCCACGTCCACGTCCACGTCCACGTCCACGTCCATGTCCACGTCCACATCCACGTCCAAGTCGTCCACGTCCACGTCCACGTCCACGTCCATGTCCACGTCCATGTGCACGTCCACGTCCACGTCCACGTCCACGTCCACGTTCACCCCGACGTCCATGTCCACGTTCACGTCCACGTCCACGTCCACGTCCACGTCCTCCACGTCCACGCCCTCCACGTCCATGTCCACGTCTACGTCCACGTCCACGTCCACGACCACGTCTACGTCCATGTCCACGTCCACCTCCACGTCCACGTCCATGTCCACGTCCACGTCCACGTCCACGTCCACGTCCACCTCCACGTCCACGTCCACTTCCACGTCCATGTCCACGTCCAAGTCCTCCATGTCTACGTCTATGTCCACGTCCACGTCCATGTCCACGTCCACGTACACGTCCACGTCCACGTCCAAGTCGTCCACGTCCACGTACACGTCCACGTCCACGTCTATGTCCACGTCCACGTCCACGTCCACGTCCACGTCCACGTCCATGTCCACGTCCATCTCCACGTCCAAGTCCTGCACGTCCACGTCCACGTCCACGTCCACGACCACGACCACGTCCACGACAATGTCCACGTCCACGTCCACGTCCACGACAATGTCCACGTCCACGTCCACGTCCACTTCCATGTCCACGTCCACGTCCACGTCCATGTCCATGTCCACGCCCACGTCCACGTCCATGTCCACGTCCATGTCCATGTCCACGTCCACGTCCACGTCCATGTCCATGTCCACGTCCACGTCCACGTCCACGTCCACGTCCACGTCCACGTCCACGTCCAAGTCCTCCACGTCAAAGTCCTCTACGTCCATGTCCACGTCCACGTCCACGTCCACGTCCACGTCCATGTCCACGTCCATGTCCTCCACGTCCACGTCCACGTCCACGTCCACGTCCATGTCCACGTCCATGTCCACGTCCATGTCCACGTCCACGTCCATGTCCACGTCCACGTCCATGTCCACGTACAGGTCCACGTCCACGTCCACGTCCATGTCCATGTCCACACCCATGTCCACGTCCATGTCCACGTCCACGTCCATGTCCACGTCCACGTCCACGTCCACGTCCATGTCCACGTCCACGTCCACGTCTTCGTCCACGTCCAAGTCCTCCACGTCAAAGTCCTCTACGTCCATGTCCACGTCCACGTCCACGTCCACGTCCATGTCTACGTCCAAGTCCTCCACGTCTACGTCCACGTCCACGTCCACGTCCACGTCCCTGTCCACGTCCATGTCCACGTCCACGTCCACGTCCACGTCCACGTCCATGTCCACGTCCGAGTCCTCCACGTCCACGTCCATGTCCATGTCCACGTCCACGTCCACGTCCATGTCCACGTCCACGTCCACGTCCACGTCCACGACCACGTCCACATCCACGTCTACGTCCACGTCCACGACAATGTCCACGTCCACGTCCACGTCCACGACAATGTCCGCGTCCAAGTCCACGTCCACGTCCACGTCCACGTCCACGTCCACGTCCACGTCCACGTCCATGTTCACGTCCATGTCCACGTCCATGTCCACGTCCATGTCCATGTCCACTCCACGTTCACGTCGACGTCCACGTCCACATCCACGTCCACGTCCACGTTCATGTCCATGTCCACGTCCACCTCTACGTCCACATCCACGTCCATGTCCACGTCCACGTCAACGTCCACGTCCATGTCCACGTCCACGTCCAGGTTTACGTCCACTTCCACGTCCATGTCCACGTCCACGTCCATGTCCACGTCCATGTCCACGTCCACGTCCATGTCCACGTCCATGTCCACGTCCACGTCCATGTCCAGGAGCTTGCCTAGACCAGGAGCTTGCCTGGTCCAGGAGCTTGCCTTGTCCAGGAGCTTGCCTAGTCCAGGAGCTTGCCTTGTCCAGGAGCGTGCCTGGTCCTGGTTTGCGCCTGGTCCAGGAGCTTGCTTGGTCCAGAAGCTTGCCTGGTCCAAGAGCTTGCCTGGTTCAGTAGCGTGCCCAGTCCAAGAGCTTGCCTGGTCTAGGGGCTTGCCTCGTCCAGTAGCGTGCTTGGTCCAGGAGCTTGCCTTGTCGAAGAGCTTGCCTGGTCCAGGAGCTTGCCTGGTCTAGGAGCGTGCCTGGTCCAGGAGTGTGCCTGGTCCAAGAGCTTGCTTGTTCCAGAAGCTTGCCTGGTCCAAGAGCTTGCCTGGTTCAGGAGCGTGCCTAGTCCAAGAGCTTGCCTGGTCTAGGAGCTTGCCTGGTCCAGGAGTGTGCCTGGTTCACGAGCTTGCCTCTTCAAGGAGCTTGCCTTGTCCAGGAGCTTGCCTGGTCCAGGAGCTTGCCTGGTCCAAGAGCTTGCCTAGTCCAAGAGTTTGCCTGGTCCAAGAGCTTGCGTGGTCCAGGAGCTTGCCTGGTCCAGGAGCTTGCCTGGTCCAGGAGCTTGCCTGGTCTAGGAGCTTGCCTGGTCCAAGAGCGTGCCAGGTCCACGAGTTTGCTTGGTCGAGGAGCTTACCTGGTCCAGGAGCTTGCCTGGTCCAGGAGCTTGCCTGGTCCAGGAGCGTACCTGGTACAGGAGCTTGCGTGTTCCAAGAGCGTGTTTGGTCCATGAGCTTGCCTCGTCCAGGAGCTTTCTTGGTCCTTTAGCTTGCCTGGTCCAGGAGCTTGCCTGGTCCAAGAGCTTTCCTGGTCCAGGAGCTTTCCTGGTCCAAGAGCTTGCCTAGTCCAGGAGCTTGCCTGGTTCAGGAGCTTGCATGTTCCAAGAGCTTGACTGGTCCAGGAGCTTGCCTGGTCCAAGAGCTTGTCTGGTCCACGAGCGTGCCTCGTCCAAGAGCTTGCCTAGTCCAGAAGCATGCCTGGTCCACGAGCTTGCCTGGTCCAGGAGCTAGCTTGGTCCTGAAGCCTGCCAGGTCCAAGAGCTTGCCTGGTCCAATAGCGTGCCTGGTCCAAGATCTTGCGTGGTCCACGAGCTTGCCTGGTCTAGGAGCTTGACTGGTCCAGGAGCGTGCCTGGTCCACGAGCTTACCTGGTCCATGAGCTTGCTTGGTCTAGGAGCTTGCCTGGTCCAAGAGCGTGCCTGGTCCACGAGCTTGCCTGGTCAAAAAGCGTGCGTGGTCTTGGAGCGCGCCTCGTCGACGAGCGAGCTTGGTCCAGGAGCTTGCCTGCTCCAGAAGCTTGTTTGGTCCAGGAGCTTGCTTGGTCCAAAAGCCTGCTTGGTCCAAGAGCTTGCGTGGTCCAGGAGCGTGCCTAGTCCAAGAGTTTGCCTGGTCCAAGAGCTTGCGTGGTCCAGGAGCTTGCCTGGTCCAGGAGCTTGCCTGGTCCAGGAGCTTGCCTGGTCTAGGAGCTTGCCTGGTCCAGGAGCGTGCCAGGTCCACGAGTTTGCTTGGTCGAGGAGCTTACCTGGTCCAGGAGCTTGCCTGGTCCAGGAGCTTGCCTGGTCCAGGAGCGTACCTGGTACAGGAGCTTGCGTGTTCCAAGAGCGTGTTTGGTCCATGAGCTTGCCTTGTCCAGGAGCTTTCTTGGTCCTTTAGCTTGCCTGGTCCAGGAGCTTGCCTGGTCCAAGAGCTTTCCTGGTCCAGGAGCTTTCCTGGTCCAAGAGCTTGCCTAGTCCAGGAGCTTGCCTGGTTCAGGAGCTTGCATGTTCCAAGAGCTTGACTGGTCCAGGAGCTTGCCTGGTCCAAGAGCTTGTCTGGTCCACGAGCGTGCCTCGTCCAAGAGCTTGCCTGGTCCAGAAGCTTGCCTGGTCCACGAGCTTGCCTGGTCCAGGAGCTAGCTTGGTCCTGAAGCCTGCCAGGTCCAAGAGCTTGCCTGGTCCAATAGCGTGCCTGGTCCAAGATCTTGCGTGGTCCACGAGCTTGCCTGGTCTAGGAGCTTGACTGGTCCAGGAGCGTGCCTGGTCCACGAGCTTACCTGGTCCATGAGCTTGCTTGGTCTAGGAGCTTGCCTGGTCCAAGAGCGTGCCTGGTCCACGAGCTTGCCTGGTCAAAAAGCGTGCGTGGTCTTGGAGCGCGCCTCGTCGACGAGCGAGCTTGGTCCACGAGCTTGCCTGCTCCAGAAGCTTGTTTGGTCCAGGAGCTTGCTTGGTCCAAAAGCCTGCTTGGTCCAAGAGCTTGCGTGGTCCAGGAGTGTGCCTAGTCCAAGAGCTTGCCTGGTCTAGGAGCTTGCCTGGTCCATGAGCGTGCCTGGTCCAGGAGCTTGCCTGGTCTCGGAGCTTGCATGGTCCAGGAGCTTGCCTAGTCCAGGAGCTTGCCTTGTCCAGGAGCGTGCCTAGTCTAGAAGTGTGCCTGGTCCAGGAGCTTGCTTGGTCCAGAAGTGTGCCTGGTCCAAGAGCTTGCGTGGTCTAGGAGCGTGCCTAGTGCAAGAGCTTGCCTGGTGTAGGAGCTTGCCTGGTCTAGGAGCGTGCCTGGTCCAGGAGCTTGCCTGGTCAATAGCTTGCCTGGTCAAGAGCTTGCCTGGTCAAGAGCTTGCCTGGTCAAGAGCTTGCCTGGTCAAGAGCTTGCCTGGTCAAGAGCTTGCGCGGTCCAGGAGCATGCCTGGTCTAGGAGCGTGCCTGGTCCAGGAGCTTGCCTGGTCTCGGAGCTTGCGTGGTCCAGGAGCTTGCCTGGTCTAGGAGCTTGCCTTGTCCAGGAGCGTGCCTAGTCTAGAAGTGTGCCTGCTCCAGGAGCTTGCTTGGTCCAGAAGCCTGCCTGGTCCAAGAGCTTGCCTTGTCTAGGAGCGTGCCTAGTCCAAGAGCTTGCCTGGTCTAGGAGCTTGCCCGGTCCAGGAGCGTGCATGGTCCAGGAGCTTGCCTGGTCAATAGGTTGCCTGGTCAAGAGCTTGCCTGGTCAAGAGCTTGCCTGGTCAAGAGCTTGCGTGGTCCATGAGCATGCCTGGTCTAGGAGCTTGCCTGGTCCAGGAGCTTGCTTGGTCTAGGAGCTTGCCTGGTCCAAGAGCTTGCCTCGTCCGGAAGCTTACCTAGTCCAGGAGCTTGCCTGGTCTAAAAGCTTGCATGGTCCAGGATCGTGCCTGGTCCAGGAGCGAGCGTGGTCCAGGAGCTATCTTGGTCTAGGAGCTTGCCAGGTCTAGGAGCTTGCCTGTTCCAGGAGCGTGCCTGGTCCAGACCCTTGCCTTGTCCAAGAGCTTTTTTGGTCCGTTAGCTTGCCTCGTCCAGGAGCTTGCCTGGTCCAGGAGCTTTCCTGGTCCAAGAGCGTGCCTGGTCCAGGAGCTTGCCTGGTCTAGGAGCTGGCCTGGTCCAGGAGCGTGCCCGATCCACGAGCTTGCCTGGTCCAAGAGCGTGCCTGGTCCAGGAGTGTGCCTGGTCCACGAGCGAGCCTGGTCCAGGAGCTTGCCTGGTCCAGGAGCTTGCCTGGTCAAGGAGCTTGCGTGGTCCAGGAGCCTGCCTGGTCCACGAACCTGCCTGGTCGAAGAGCTTGCCTGGTCCAGGAGCGTACATGGTCCACGAGCGTGCCTCGTCTAGGAGCTTGCCTGGTCCAGGAGCTTGCCTGGTAAAGGAGCTTGCCTGGTCCGGGAGCTTGCCTTGTCCAGGAGCTTGCTTGGTCCACGAGCCTTCCTAGTCCAAGAGCTTGCCTGGTACAAGAGCTTGCCTGGTCCAAGAGCTTGCCTGGTCCAAGAGCTTGCCTGGTCCAGGAGCTTGCTTGGTCCAGGAGCTTGCTTGGTCCACGAGCCTGCCTGATCCAAGAGCTTGCCTGGTCCAGGAGCTTGCTTTGTACGGGAGCTTGCCTGGTCCAGGAGCTTGCTTGGTCCACGAACCTGCCTGGTCCAAGAGCTTGCCTGGTCCAGACGCGTGCATGGTCCACGAGCGTGCCTGGTCGAGGAGCTTGCCTGGTCCAGGAGCTTGCCTGGTCAAAGAGCTTGGTCCAGAAGCCTGCCTCGTCCAAGAGCTTGCCTGGTCCAGGAGCGTGCCTGGTCCAAGAGCTTGGGTAATCCAGGAGCTTGCCTGGTCCAAAAGCTTGCCTCGTCCAAGAGCTTGCCTGGTCCAAGATCTTGCGTGGTCCAGGAGCTTGCCTGGTCCAGGAGCTTGCTTGGTCCAGGAGCTTGCCTGGTCCAAGAGCTTGACTGGTCCAAGAGCTTGCGTGGTCCAGGAGATTGCCTGGTCCAGGAGCTTGCGTGGTCTAGGAGCTTGCCTGGTCTAGGAGCTTTTTTGGTCCAGAAGCGTGCCTTGTCCAAGAGCTTGCCTGGTCCAGGAGCGTTCCTAGTCCAAGAGCTTGCTTGGTCTAGGAGCTTGCCGCATCCTGAAGCTTGCCTGGTCAAGGAGCGTGCTTGGTCCACGAGCGTGCCTGGTCCAAGAGCTTGCCTGATCCAGGAGCTTGCCTGGTCCCAGAGCTTGCCTGGTCCACGAGCGTGCCAGGTCCAAGAGCTTGCCTGGTCCAGGAGCGTGCCTGGTCCACGAGCGTGCCTGGTCCAGGAGCCTGCCTGGTCTAGGAGCTTGCCCAGACCAGGAGCTTGCCTGGTTTAAGAGCTTGCCTGTTCCAAGAGCTTGCCTGGTCCAGGAGCTTGCCTTGTTCAGGAGCTTGCTTGGTCCAGAAGCTTGCCTGGTCCAAGAGCTTGCCTGGTCCAAGAGCTTGCGTGGTCCAGGAGCTTGCCTTGTCCAGGAGCTTGCCGTGTCCATGACCTTGCCTAGTCCAAGAGCTTGCCTGGTCCAAAAGCGTGCCTGGTCCAGGAGCTTGCCTGGTCTAGGAGCTTGCTTGGTCCAGAAGCCTGCCTGGTCCAATAGCTTGCCTAGTCGAGGAGCGTGCCTGGTCCAAGAGCTTGCGTGGTCCAGGAGCTTGCCTAGTCCAGGAGCTTGCTTGGTCCAGAAGCGTGCCTTGTCCAAGAGCTTGCCTGGTCCAGGAGCGTTCCTGGTCCAAGAGCTTGCGTGGTCTAGGAGCTTGCCTCGTCCAGGAGCTTGCCTGGTCAAGGAGCGTGCTTGGTCCACGAGCGTGCCTGGTCTAAGAGCTTGCCTGATCCAGGAGCTTGCCTGGTCCAAGAGCTTGCCTGGTCCACGAGCGTGCCTGGTCCAAGAGCTTGCCTGGTCCAGGAGCGTGCCTGGTCCACGAGCGTGCCTGGTCCAGGAGCTTGCCTGGTCTAGGAGCTTGCCCGGACCAGGAGCTTGCCTGGTTTAAGAGCTTGCCTGGTCCAGGAGCTTGCCTTGTTCAGGAGCTTGCTTGGTGCAGAAGCTTGCCTGGTCCAAGAGCTTACCTGGTCCAAGAGCTTGCGTGGTCCCGGAGCTTGCCTTGTCCAGGACCTTGCCTGGTCCAGGAGTGTTCCTGGTCCACGAGCGTGCCTAGTCCAGGAGCTTGCATGGTCCAGGAGCTAGCCTAGTCCAAGAGCTTTCATGGTCAAGGAGCTTGCCTGGTCTAGGAGCTTGCCTGGTCCAGGAGCTTGCCTGGTCCACGATCTCCTTGGTCCAGAAGCTTGCCTGATCCAAGCGCTTGCGTTGTCAAGGAGCGTGCCTAGTCCAAGAGCTTTCATTGTCCGACAGCTTGCCTGGTCCAAGAGTTTTTCTGGTCCAAGATTGTGCCTGGTCCACGAGCGTGCCTTGTCTAGGAGCTTGCCTCGTCCAGGAGCGTGCCTGGTCCAAGAGCTTGCCTGGTCCAGTGGCTTGCCTGGTCCAAGAGCTTGCGTGGTCAAG